TATAGGTATATTTCTAGGATTTCTATACTATTTTACTGATCTATTTATCATTTATCTTTTTTTTTAACCAATTCCACACTGTCTTGGTTACTGTAGTTTATAGTAAGATGTAGTTGGGTTATATCAGTTCTCCAATTTTTATTTTCTTAGTATTATGTTGACTATTTTGTATATTTTGCTTTTCCATTTAAACTTTACAGTGAAGTTGTCAACATCAATGTAATTCACTCTTTAATGTGCAGAATCTCAAATGTGACCTTCTTCTATCTTCTATTCATTCTCTTAACCTTTTTCAAATTTAATATTTTGAACTTTTTGTGTTGTATTCTGTGCAGTGTACTCATATTTTCCCTCCAGTTTATTACCTTTTTAAATCTGTTCCTCATCTGCTATTTTATCTTCCCAATTAAGTATTGTTTTAAATGCTGAAGGTGTTCATTTCTGATGTTTCAGAGTTTATTCACCTAGCAACAGTCTCAAAGCCATTCATAATTCTTGTCTACATGTTGCTGTTAAAACTTGTACCCTTAATGCTTATAGCTAAGTTAATTAACTCTGTTATCTCAATTACCATGTGAGTTTATTATTCTTTTCCAAGTTCCCCCTCAGTTTTTAGCATCTGAAAAGTAGACTTTTTTTTTTTAGAGTTTAGCTGTGTTCCTGGACATTTTGTGGTATTTTATCTTGTGCTTCTGTTTTAAATGCGTGTTTGTATTAGAGGACAAGTTTTTGCTTATTCTGTCATGCTTCATGAGCTATTATTTGAATCTCATTCTTATAAAATACTTGGTCTTTGATTCCATCAAAGAGTATATTTCTTTATTTTTCCACAATATTTATTGAATGTCTATTTTATACTAGAATTTGTGACAGGCACTGGGGATACTATAATATAAAACTAAAGCTATCAGAGAGATTATAGTTTTGAGGGAGAGAATTATCTGTTTCTATTGACTCAGCTCTTTCTTCAATCGGTTAAGTCACTATGCATTGGATTAGCCAGGAAGGTTCTAATGAATGACTGTTTTTCAGCCTCATCTCACTAGTGCAGATGTGACAATATTGAGAAAAATCAAAGTGGATTTGCAAATGTATGACTTTCTACGATCTCTATTTAATTTTATCTTTCCAGGTCTGGGTTTATTTTAAAATAAGACTAATTGTGCTTTGATAACCAGAGCTTCTGTGTCCCCATTCTGATAAGATCTAATTAGTTCTGGTCCAGGTAGGTTTGTTTAACTACTCAGATGTATACTGAATTTAGCATATGGAACAAGACTGTTTGAATGAGAATCTCCATGGTCTTAGATAAAATGTAAACTTAGCACATTCAACTAGCCTTTGTAGAGGCAAGGCCATAAAATTTTGATTCTCTATCACTTGGAATATGATTTAAATTTCATAGATCTATATTTCATACAAATTCCATAAACTTAGCCTTAATTTATGTATATATCACTAGGGCACCAAGCAGTCCCATTAAAAAAGTGGGCAAAAGACTTGAATAGACACTATCCAAAAGAAGATATATGGATAGCCAACAGACACATGAAAAAGTGCTCAGTCTCACCATTCATCAGAGAAATGCAAATCAAAATCACACTGAGATACCACCTAATCCCAGTAAGAATGGTCATCTTTAATAAAACAACAACAGATGCTGGCAAGGATGGGGAGAAAAAGGAATGCTTCTAACTGCTGGTGGGAATGCAAACTAGTGCAACTTCTTTGGAAGATAGTATGGTGATTACTGAAAGAACTAGAAATTGACCTTCCATATGGCCCAACAATCCCCATATTGGGAATATACCCAGAGGAACTCGAATCATTCCACCAAAAAGATACCTGCATATGCATGTTTGTTGCAGCTCTATTCACAATAGCAAAAACATGGAATCGACCATGCTACCCATCAAAGGTGGATAGGATAAAAAATGTAGTACATATACAATGGCATATTATGCAGCCATAAATAAGGACAAAATATATGGACTATGTAGCAACTTGGATGGATTTAGAGTCTACCATACTCAGTGATCTATCACAGAAACAAAGAACGAGTACCATATGTTCTCACTCATCAGCAGATCTTGAACAATTATCATATTACTATAAGAAAGGGGTTGGCAATAGTGGGAAACTGCCAGGGGAGGGGAGGTGGGATTGGAGGTTGAGAGAAACTGCCAGGGGAGTGAGGGGCACACCTTGTCAACAAGAATACCTGTGTAAATAATATTTGTTTACCTAACCTGAATTGTACCCCACATCTTTAAAATGAAAAAAAGAAGAAGAAAAGAAAGCTGGTGTGCTTTGTTTTGTTATGTGGAGAGCCATGCCAATGGATTAAGTAGGTCATGTGGTGTCTTCCACAGATGAGAGAGGAGATGTTCCTTCCATCATTTTGGTTGGAGCTTAGTGTCTCTAGTGAAGGAGATATGATGATGTAAAGAAAGTTCCTTTCAATAGGAAAAGTAACTGAAAAAATGTATCCCTGCTACCTCAAATAAAAGTGGTTAAGAGAAAGTGGACATAAAATGGTGACAGCTGAATAAACATGTTTTATGGCTTTTTTTCCTTTTCCTAGACTAAGATCACAAGGTAGGAGTCTTGTTTAGGAATGTAAGAGAAAATCTAAAATCAGAAAAGTTTGTCATGTTAAATTTGGTACTGATAAGGTAAACTGTCTTTAAGTGCTCTTATCACATTAGAAATTGGCAGTAGCCATGTCTGAGTCAAGTTTTCACATGCCCTGTGGAAATACAGGGAAGGTAGCTGATGGTGTTGTCTGGAGAATCATCATCATGATTTCTGAAACCTGCAGGGTAGAGAATCATGAACATGGTCATGGTGATTATAGAAAAATCAAGAAGCATTGTTGTCTTTCTAATCTGAGTATAGTATATACATTTGCGAGTCCTTACACTTGATGAAAGGATATTTTGATTAACAATTCCCTTTCCTATCTTTGTTTGCTTAAACCCGTCCTGATAGGTCATCTTCACTAAGGCACGGCAGCAAGGACCCTGCCCCTTGGTACTTCATTTTCCTAACTAGGTTTGACTGGGATAAGTAGATATATTTTAGTTTCCTGGGACTCTCCATTTCTCCATTTTGATTTTTCACACGTGCTCAGATTTCAGTGGCTCAGCTAAAGCTTTGTCTTAGTCTGTTTTCTGATGCTTTTTTTTTTTTTTGAGTTGGAGTCTCACTCTGTTGCCCAGGCTGGAGTGCAGTGGTATGCTCACAACCACTATAGCCTTGTCCTGCTGGGCTTAGGCAATTCTTCCACCTCAGTCTTCCAAGTAGCTGGAACTACAGATGCATGCCACCATGCCTGGTTGTGTTTTCTGATGCTTATAACACAATAACTAATCCTGAGTAATTTTTACAGAGAAGAAATTTAGTTCTTTCATTTATAGAGTATAAGAATTCCAAGGTTGTAGGGACACATCTGATGAGAGTCTTCTTGGTGGGGGCACTCTGCTGAATCCCAAAGCAGCACATAGTATCACACGTGTGTGTGCTAGCTCAGGTCTCTTTTCCTTTTTTATATAAAGTTACCAATCCCACTCTTATAATAATCCATTAATGGATTAAGTCAGTAATGAGGGCAGAGCTCTTATGGCACAATCTCCTTTAAAAAGCCTCATTTTTCAATACATTGTGAATTAATTTTCAACACGAGTTTTGGAGAAAAAATTATTTAAACTACGACAGTCATAGTGATCTAAACACAATCTTCAAATGAAGCTATACAGTGGTAGCCCTGGGAAACATACATGTCTCTTCTATGAGCTAATACTTAATCAAACTGAAGCAAGTCCAGTTGTCATCAAGAAGATGGTATTCAATCTCAACTTGCTTGACCAGGTATGATGTGGACATATTGGTACTGTCTAGCTATTACTGGAGCACTGGTAAATTAGGCTGTAATAGGTCCTTTGACATTTCTCTTGCTTACAAGCTCACATTCTCATTTATCACGACAGGCCACACTGTGCACAAAAGTTTAAGTAGCTCTTCTACATTGATTTCAATAAAGTGTGAATTTAAAAGATCCAACAAGGTTGTATGTGTGTTTTACAGTCTCTCTATGTCTCCATCTCTGCCTCTAGAACTAGAGAAGTCTGCAGACTTCTGTTTAGAATTAGAGACAATGACAGGTGTAAAATACACAAGTGGAGAATTTTATTTTTGTATTTAAATATTTTAGCTGTTAGAGAAATGTCATATCAAAAGTCCATTCAAAAGTCCATTCAAGTTGTACATGACATATTCCAAAGCCACACTCTTTATAACTAGAGGATATAGATTTATTTAAATTCAATTTGTCAAAGTACAAATAAGTTTGTACAATTTATGTTGTTTTTTCTTAAAACTTAAAAAGTAGTATATTTTACAAGCATCTCTCTGGATTTTATTTGTGGTTTGCACAATCTACAATACAAAGTTTGTTTAAAAGAACTTACTGTAGAAATTTTAAAATTGAACATTTACAAAAAGTTAGTTTAAAATTTTTTCAATATTTCATCTTAAACAATTTTAAAAGTAAATGGAATAAATGGAAGTAAGAATTAAAGATAAAATACTACCCAAGTAGCTTTTTTTTTTTTTTTTACTTAAAAATGTTTTTGTATCATGTACATATCCTTAAAATTTTCTACTGGATATATATAACATTAACAGAAAAGCATGTATTGGTACATAAAATATAACTATAGAATTGACCATGCATATTGAGCATTACTGTGTTTCCGTGAGTTAACATTGTGTAACATCTTCAATTTTAATAAACCTTAAAAATTATTATTATTATTTTTAGATTAGAAAATATATTTTATTTGATAGAAAATTAGAGAGAGGGAGAGAGAGAGAGAGAGAGAGAGAAAGAGAGAGAGAAAGGGAGGGAGTTAATTTCCCCAGAGTGGGAGAGGGGGCCAAAGCCAGAAAGCATGGCAACAGCCATAGCTCAAAGAGCACATGGCTACACCAGAGTCTAGCAAGGTAATGGTCTTATTTTGTTTTGAAAACATGTTTAACTTAATTATATTTGTTTACAGCGTTCACATAAATATTTGAGGAGAATATTAAGTTCTATACAAGTTAGGCCCTGACATTCTGAAGCTGAGGTCACAGTTTACATCAATATGATAAATATCACTATTTTGTTGGATGGATTGTGTATATTAAATTACAATAATACTTTCTTGGTAAAAAAAAATCTATCAAGACAATATGTTAAGAAATCTATATGTGTGCTCTGGCATATGGTTACTGAAAAAAAGTAAGCTTGTAAAAATTTTGACATACTGTGATTAGCATAACAAATTTTGTCAATGAGCCAGTTTTTTAGCCTCAACACAATAAGATCTGTCCTCTTGATAAATATGAGGTGTTAATTCAGTTGTTGAGGATATTGTTTGAATAAGAGACTGATATCCTACTGAAAATCAGACTTTCTATTTTAAGTTTTAGATATTCTCTTTTATATGAAATTGTATTCTAGATAAGAGTACATTTTGTTTTTGAAATCTAACACTTTGATCGCCATCAATTTTTATTTACTATTTAAACATTTTATAGTAATGAGGATAAACCTAAACTACTGGATTTTCTTTCATATTATGAGCTGTGACAACACATACTCTTAACCCTCATGTCATTCAGGTTTAAAAACTCGTTTTGGCTTCATAAACGAGAATAATTATAATTATGTGTAATAATGACAAAATTATTTTCCAGTTTAATTATTAAGTGCATATAATAACACGTTTTTTTCTTTCTCTCTTCTTCTGATATCCCGTTTCTTGAAATGATTCAGTTTCATTTGCTTTGATAAAGGGAGCTTTAGGATAGCTTCACTACTACAACACATGCACCAGCTCTTCCAATGTTAACAGGAGTTTCCTATAACAAAAATAAGAAAATAAACACTTTCTGAACTTTGCCTTAGCATAATATGGAATGTCGGAATTTAAAAAGTTCTTACTTAGTCTGGTTTAATTTAAGCTTGTATAAAAATAAGGGAATTTGTAGTCCAAATAATAGTCAGTGTGGTGGAAAGAACAGTCTTTAGAATGTATAGACATTCAAAATGGTTGAAGATCAGATGATACGGGGTAAGATTCATCTCTCTGATAATTTTCTCACTTGAAAAATTAGAGCTAATCATGTTCATCCTTCAAAGGTTTTGTGAGGGTGAGACAAGATAATGAATACAATAATATGGCACACATTAGCTATAATCCTACTATCCTTTATTTCTTTTTCACTCTTTTTAAGATCACATGATAAAACAGTGACAGATCCAGGAACACAGTCTAAGTCTCTTACTTGCTGGTCTACCATCTTCAAAAAAAGTAAATTCCACAAGATTAGTCAAACATTTTAATTGTTGTATTTGACCTAAGCCCTTGTTAGCTAATTTTTTCCCATCCATTTCTGGTTGGTCCTAAGCACATGATAGGATTTGAGTGTGTTTGAGAATTTTTTTTCTTTAATGTTCACTGCAGCTTCAATAGTATAGCCCAAAACTGGAAACAATCCATTTGAGAGTCTTAATGAGTCAGATTGTTTGTGCAGAAAGATAGAAACCCATTATTAGCTGTCATTATATTGACACCTATTCATTTAGAACAGTACCCAACTGTACCCTATAGAGTAAATAGTAGCATGAAGTCAATACAAGGGAAGGTGAAGTTAGGTACCAAATACAAGGTTCGCCTGTTGTGAATATAGTAAGGAGCTAATTATACTTCATTTTAAATGCATCAGTTATTAAACAAAATTCCATGAGATATTTTGGAGTAATTCTAGTGTTTCACTGACAAAACATCTCCAAGATGCCATGTTAGTATTTTTTTTTGTATTCCCCTTGAAATATATTTAATTAGATGCCCAGGCTATTGAAGGGGGTTTAATTCTAGGCTCCTACTGTGCACTAAGTTACTTGAGTGACTGAGGAAGTTCGAAGTATTGCAGTTTGCATTAATTCTAAAGGAAAAAATGGAAGTCTATTTTCCTAGGCACCAGCCAATAATCAGGCCAGACATTTGTAGAAGAGGACATTGTCCTTTAGTTCTTAAATTATAATAGATACATACAAGGTTGGTCAGGATAATGCTCTTGAATTATTGAATCTGATTCACTGTTTTTTTGTGAAGGGAATACTTTCATGAAGTCAAGAGAATAATCTGTTCCCTTTATTAACAAATCTTGCTAATGATCAACTAGATTAACTAGTAATTTTCTAAGGCATAGATAAAATACATACAATAAATTTCATGAAAATATATTTTTAAGTAGTAGAGAGAAAGATGATGAAATTAATTCCAAAAATAATTTTTAAATGTTCGTTTAAAAACTGAAATATAGCAATTTAATTTTTTGATGTGATTACCTCTTTCCATTCATTTTTCTGTGCATCATATGACTCAACAGTATTCAAATAAGTATGTCCATCATATCCTCCAACCACGTAGAGTTTGTCTCCAAGAGAGCATACCGCAACAGCATCTCGAGGTACATTCAGAGGTGCCACAGTTGACCATGAGTCACTTTTTGGATCATATCTAAGAAGTTTAGAAAGACAATTGAGAAAGGAAGGCCAATGGATTTATAATTGAAAATAATAGTCATTAATAATTTATGCTATTTAAAGAATGAAATTAAAAACACATTAAAAATATCAAGTGTATAGAAGTGATAGAAAAGTGGCATTAATATGTTTTTTGGGATATTATGCATATGTTCTTTTTTATATTAACAAAGAAGTAGAAGCTCTTTTCATAAAATAGAAAACCACAATGTTCCAAATATGTTACATTTGTCAGGTCATAAGTTTCTGGGAAATAAATTCCAAAAACAAAACAAAATAAGGTGTAAATTGCCTAATAAATGTTAAGGATGTGTACATGGCAAAATTCCCTTCAGCCACCAGAGGTCTGTCAAAGCATATCAGAGAAGTATTTATTTTCCAAGATATACATTTCTTTAATCAGTACTCAGGTTCTCATTGAAGAAATTTTACATATTGAGATCCTGTCAGTATATGGAAAATGCTTCCTCTTTCATATAGTATTCTGATTGAAGAGCTTTTGATTTTTTTCACATTCTTTGTTCATCAAACTTATACACGAGATGTCTGATACTATTTGTATGAGAGCTCACATTTTAAAGTAGTAAACTTTAATATAATTGCCTTTTTGTTTTAGTTTTACTTATGAAGTGTAGCACCTTGGTTTTAATACTATTTGCAGCTAGAATGGTCATAGCTTTATCCAGTGCTTTTCTCTAAGTGCTCTCATTTATTTTCACAGACGTCTAAGATATTTTCTTCCATTTTAATCTAAAGTTAACTCCTTATCCCCAAACCTTTCCAGAAAGCAGAATGAAAAAGAACTCAGTAATACTAATATTCTTTCCTACCTTTGAAACCTATTTAAAAACATAAATATCACTAAAATCTGAAAGAGGAACAATAAAGAAAACTCACATAATGATATATGGAATTGTTCTCTAATTTTACATTGACCCACTTGTAAAAGTCTAATATAAAGATTTAATTAAAAATATATTTTAATGTATCAACTTCTACTAGTTTACTTATATTTCTATTACTTACTCTTAATACTGTTTTTATCTTTTTAATCATATTTTAAATCATCTGATCTTAGCTTCCATATGAACTTGGCCTCCCATTCAGGATTTCTAAAAATACTATCTGAAATCAGCAGTAATTAAAACAGCCTCAAAACTTATTCTATATTATTGAAAGGCATGTGGAATATTACCATAACTTCTAATGTTATAGTATAGTAAAACTTAGAACTCTAGCTCTGTGGTCCCCAACCTTTTTGGCTTCAGGGGCTAGTTTCATAGAAGACAATTTTTACATGAACCAGTGGTGGGGGATGGTTTCTGGAATATTCAAGCTCATTATATTTATTGTGCACTTTATTTCTACTGTTATTATATTCCAATATCCACCTCAGCTCGACCTAAGATCATCAGGCATTAGATTCTCAGGTGGAGCATGTAACCTAGATCCCTCATATGTGCAATTCACAATAAGTTTTGTGCTCCTATGAAAATCTCATGCCATGGCTGATCTGACAGAAAGCAGAGTTCAGGCAGTAATGCAAGTGATGGGGAGTTGCTGTAAATACAGATGAAGCTTTGCTCACCTGCTCACCATTCACCTCCTGCCATGAGACTCTGTTCTGAACAGGCTACAGACTGCTACTGGTCCCTGGTCCAAAAGTTGTGAATCCCTGCTCTAGGTAAACCGAATTTTCAAAACAACAGCATAATTGATGTTGCACTCAGCAAACAGCTGGGGCACACGCATATATGAATGGTAAAACAGAACTCACATAAAAATTTGCTTACAGATATGCATCCCAAGACACAAGACTTTTCTGCATGGGCACAGCAACTAATGCTTAAAATCTGGTTAATGTTAATAATATCTGGATGCTGCTTGGTTAACAAGAGGAGTTTAGGGATGGTTGAATCTTTTGAAGAAGAAAAAATTGGCAAAATGGTTACCATATGTAATAATACACAAGTATAGCTATTTTTAAAAAAGCTTACCACTATATTATATTCAAACTAAAATATCATCATTTCTCTTCCCTTTTCGTTTCTCTTTTGCTTTCTGTTTCCCCTCACTCAACATAAGCGTATATATTCTATTGGAAATAAAATTGAGTCATGGACTTATTCTTCCACTTAATGTAATTAGGGATAATTTGCTTGATTTCTTGCCTCATTTTTCTTATTAACATTACAGTAGCAGTAATTCTTGACCTAACCAGTGTGATGGTTTTAGAAACTGTTAAAATAATTGGATAAGAGACTCTTACAAGACTAGGTAGGTCAAAAGTGCTTTAGCATAAAATAATCAGGAAAATTGGTCAAACATGAAAAACAGAATTATCTGGTTCCATAGAGTGCATCTTTGATTAATCTTCTGCTGAAAAAACTATTTTACAGTTAGCATGTATGGAAGTTAAGCTGTAAAAAAACTGAATTTTCCTGTGATTCTCTTCCATAACAATACAAATAAATTTTGTTTGATACAGAATCAATTTCTACTATGTAGAACTAATGATTACCAAATATTCCATTTTATTGTCCTATATAATTTTAACTATTTTTACATCTATTAAAATGTTTTTCACCATTACTAATTCTCTAAATGTCTTTTATTCAAATACTTTTTTGAACTTGTTTTAACATTTTAGAGTTACTTTATTAATAAACGAATCACAAAATATTTGACATATGTTCAGTTTATGTATTTAAAATTTTAATTGATATACAATATTTGTACATATTTATGAGGTATATGTGATCTACTGCTACAAGCATAAAAAGTGTCACTTTATACTTGTTTAAAAGTCATGATTTTAACTCTTTGAAGATTATACTTCAACACTAGCCATTTTCTCAAGATACTTTGAAGGAAAATGACAATAAGGGGATAATGTTAGTAATCTCAATAATGCTTTAATAATATTACAGCAATAACACTAAAAAAAGCCCTGCAACTAACTTCTACAGAATATTTAACATATGGCAGGCAATGTGCTAAGTGCATTAAATTTTTATATCTTATAATCTATAAATTTGATACTAGTATTACTTTCAATTTTCACATTAGAAAACTAATGTTTAGAGATATAAAGTAACTGGGTCAAGGTCATATAATTAGTAAATAATAGATGTGGAATTTGATTCTGTCTGTCACCTAATTCAATGCTTTTGATTAGTATACTATACATTCTTTTAGTATGTAAAAATTTCTTTTTCTCATCAAAAAAATGAGAGTATGTACATTTTCAAAATCAGTTAGTTTAAGAAAGTAATTATGTCAGCAGATAAGGTTAAACATTTAACTACATTAAGTACATTTGGGTATGCATGCAAATATCTAATTTTGTAGTCTGTAACACAAACTTCATCAGAAAATATAAACTGAATTCATATTTTTAGTGATATGTGTAAAAAGCCTCTTTGAATTGATATAGACATTTTAAACCATTATAAGGCTGATTTTACTGTGAATATGCTACAATGCTAAAATCTGCAGCCTAATTCTACCCTCTTTCAAATTCTAATACAGAATGCCACAGTTTCATGGGTTCACAAAGTAAAGCTAGGAAAATGTTTGCCATATAATAGTGAAAAAGAAGACATTGATTTAATTAAAATACTTTCAAGTATTCCATATTTTTCCTTGTGAAATGTATTCTTTTTTTGGTAACCAAATAAACTTATGTCATTCCACACATGTAGATCCAGGGAGCCAACTTAATGCAAAACAAGTTATACTAGTAAAGTTCAACAAAAGACCTCCAAAATGCAATAGAACAAAAAGCATAGACTTTAGCATACTTAAAGAAAAAACTTCTATTTGAATGTATTACAATAAAATTGCTATCACAAGAGCTCATAAAATTATTTGTGTCTCTGTCTATATATTTACATGATTTACTTCTTGAATATATTTTCATGATTTACTTTTTGACAGATGAAATTTTTGGGAAGTCATGTGTTATTTTCCTAGTAACAAATCTTTAGGATTCCCTTTTGTTATCTATAATTTTGTACAATATTGTGTTATTTTGTATAAAATCTTTTTAGGCAATATTTATTCTTTCTGTAAAGAACAACGTGGATTCTCCACATCAGTTTTCCTCTTTAAATTCCCTCTGGTGAATTTATTACATCAATATAGTTTTAAGTGTTAATGTAATCTATCACAGAAACAATGAACTGAGTACCACATGTTCTCACTCTTAAGCGGACCTTGAACAATTATCATAATACTATAAGAAAGGGATTGGCAGTAGTTGGAAACTGCCGGGGGAGGGGAAAGGTTGGAATTGGCAGTAGTGGGAAACTGCTGGAGTCGGGGGCATACCTTATCAACAAGTGTACCTGCATAATGAACATTTGTATACCCTAAATTGTACCTCACTTCTTCAAAACAAAAAAATAAAAATAAATTTAAAAAATCCTTACTGTGGACACCCATATAGTGGAATGCTACTCAGCAATAAAAAGAAATAAGCTCTTTAAAAAAAAGATAGCATACTTATTTTTTACATGGATTTGTTTGCACTTTTGATCAAATTGTGTTTTTTCAAATATAAAGACTTCTGATATTATCTATTTATATTATAAGAGGTGATTTATTCTTGTCCACTAGCAAGATTCTTAAAAAGAAGCTATACATATATGGTTCTTAGGTATAGAACCATAAATATTCTTATGTGCAAAAGAACATAATTCAGTGTCTGGATATCATTACTCAAATTAAAAACTGTTTCACTTACCTTTTTTGAATGTAAATATGGATATTTAAAAGCGTATGTGTGCATTTGTTTGACAGGCAGACTTGTTCTAAAATTTTTGTGTGTTGTGTGCTGTCTATAAGTTTTATGATCTACAGAAGACAACAATAAATTATTTAGGCAATTTTAAATTTCAGTGGAATCTCTCTCAATTATTTGCAGTACTATTTTAACAAACTTTGAGTCTATGGTATTATTTGAGTCTTTCT